TCATTAATCATTAATCATTAATCATTAATCATTAATGATATCAAAGTTGGGAACACTCCTAATGGAGCGTTAGCCGTGCTTCCAGCGCTGTGCTGCTGCTGATTCTTGCATGTCGTTCCCTCGGTATCACCGCACGTGTCGTTCGTACGTCTCTGTGATGGTCGTGCAAGTAAGCAATAGAAGTCCAACATATGGTGTCCGATCAAAGTTCTATTTCACTTTCCCAAAACGCGTTTTTGTGCCAGCGTTCAGTTGGCCCCACTGTCAGGCTGTATGAGATCACGGTAAGGTGATTATGTCTGTCTGATGTATTGTACAATTTTTTTTTATCTATAATAATTACACGTGAACTATATTATCAACAGTCTATCACAACAAAAATGCGTTTGTTGGCATAAATGAGTGTCAGTGTAGTGTTTTCAACAGTGCAAGATAGACTCAACTAGTGTCACATGATTGCCAGGTACAATAACAGTATGGGGATATATATATAGATAAAGTTATACGGACACGGTAGTAGTTTTGACTCTGTTTATTGCATACAGAACTGTTTCGTGTGGAGCGAAAGCTCGACACTCATCAGTGCCTAATACAGAGTGATCTATTTAGAACATCCCGATCAGTATAAAAACATCATGCATAATGTGATCTATTGTTCGTATTCATACGTGCGCGTTCTAAAGAAATACCATAGATACTAATTAGCGCGTCACTGTCGGTGACTGCTGCGCGCTGGCGCTAAACTGAATTCATTGTAATTTAAGAGTTCACATAATGTTTCTTAAATAATGTTTCTTAATAAAAATTTATCTTTATGTCTGCATTTACTAAGGCCATCCTTAAAAAATTATATGTTTGCTGTCCTCCGACCGACCCACGAAAATAGCCACGACCGAAAAGTTTTTTTTGACATTTTGGGTTCCATATTTATTTTTTTTAAACATTTTTTATAGTTAAGACTGAAACACAAAGCATGTGTGGCAAACATGAGGACAGACTTAAAATAACTATTATGCTTCACACACACAAAATGACCTACCTACCTACCCACTAAAAAAATCATGGGTTGGGTGGGGGACAGCAAACATAGCAAGAATTTTTTAAGGATGGCCTAACAAGTTTGTTTCTCTTGTTTAGTGTCGCAGTCTCAGGTTTGCACAATATGTAGACTTCTTTGTTAAGCATAGGTTGCATGTCTTCGTAGTGTTGCGCTTTGCTCAGTATCTTCCATTTAATCGCGTAGTCTATGTTGTTGTCTTTCAAGTTCCAAATATGTTTACTAAGTTCTATCGAGTTCCGTTTTCATTGCGTAGTGAAGAATGCCTTATGGTTCGCTAGTCTCGCTTTGAAGGAGGTAGCTGTTAGTCCGACGTATGTTTCTGTCTTGTTTTCGCTAGTCACTGTTGCTCGGTATACTATATGTCTTTAGCAAGGCAGTTTTCATCCAGGGGGCACGTTACGTTTTTCGGGCAGTTGCATTTTCTGTTGTTTACCGTTTCCGTGTTGATCTGCAGTATTCTTCTGTTGTTTCCCTCTATTATATTCTTCGCGTTCGGCATGCAGCTGTACGAGATCTTAACATTGTTCTTATTGAAAATCTTGTGGAGTTTGTTTTCTGGAGAGAAACACTTATTTACGATTTATAAAAATTCCTTGCTGACATTTGTTTTCACATTTTGGTCGTATGGTGGGTTGTACCAAATGATATTGCGTGCTCTGTTTCTTCTTCCGGTTGCTGCTTGTGGTTTTTCGTAGCGAAGCTTGTAGTTATAGCCGTTGTCGTTTAAATTTTAATGCTTGTTGATATGTGGACGCCGCTTTTTCAAAAATTTCTCCGCTGGAGGATATCTCGGAGAGTCGCTTGTTTACAAATCGTAAATAAGTGCTTCCCTCCAGAAAACAAACTCCACAAGATTTTCAATAAGAACAATGTTAAGATCTCGTACAGCTGCATGCCGAACGTGAAGAATATAATAGAGGGAAACAACAGAAGAATTCTACAGATCAACACGGAAACAATAAACAACAGAAAATGCAACTGCCCGAAAAACGTAACGTGCCCCCTGGATGGAAACTGCCTTGCTAAAGACATAGTATACCGAGCAACAGTGACAAGCGAAAACAAGACAGAAACATACGTCGGACTAACAGCTACCTACTTCAAAGCGAGACTAGCGAACCATAAGGCATCCTTTACTACGGAATCAAAACGGAACTCGACAGAACTTAGTAGACATATTTGGAACTTGAAAGACAACAACCTAGACTATGCGATTAAATGGAAGATACTGAGCAAAGCGCCACACTACTCGAACACTATGAAGAAATGCAACCTATGTTTAACAGAGAAGTTCCACATATTGTGCAACCTGAGACCGCGACACTGAACAAGAGAAACGAACTTGTTAGTAAATGGCAAAATGCAGACATAAAGATAAATTTTTATTAAGGAACGTTATGTGAACTCTCACAATAAATTCAATTTAGCACCAGCACGCAGCAGTCACCGACAATGACGCGCTAATTAGTGTCTATGGTATTTCTTTAGAACGTGCACGTATGAATACGAACAATAGATCACATTATGCATGATGTTTTTATACTGCTCGGGATGTTCTAAATAGATCACGAGCTGTATTAGGCACTGATGAGTGTGGAGCTTTCGCTCCACACGAAACAGTTCTGTATGCAATAAACAGAGTCAAAATTACTATCGTGTCCGTATAACTTTATCTATATTTGCTCTACTCATGGTAGTATTGAGCACTCTTGACACACGAGTTCATAAACAACCATTGGAATCTCTATATATATATAATTATATATATATATATATAATATATACCATTCTTAATTTTGTTTGGTTTTCGCCTGCAAAATTTGATAAAGCATTATTATTGTATAACATCATTGGAAATTTTCTGCAAACCAATGTACTGCAAAAAGGTAAAAGGTGATTGTTGTCAAGGGAGATCCGAGGTTGAAGTAGACTCCGATAATGTGGATTTTGCTCCATGGCGAGTATTGATAAAGTAGAACCTTTGCAAGTTGCCAATTTTCACGATTTGTTTAGGCCTTTATTTGAAAGTAGTGAAATAATGCTCAGTTTTCGATAGTATTAAAGCCGCACAATGCGCATCCAAACGCTAATTTTGCCAGTACTAGACTAGCAAATACTTTGTGTCATGCATAATCACACTACCGTATGACAAAATAAACTCCTCCCATTTCACTGCGCGTTGTCTTATAAAAGGTATAAAAAAATACCTCCAATGTTGTTCAAATTCTCCGATGTTGTTGACAGTTTCGCGTTGCTCTCCCAAGCAACCGTGTAGCGGTGCTGCGGTACAGCGGTACAGGTGTAGCAAAGATAAAAACATGTGACGTCGCCTAACCACTTCGAGGCTAAATTGTTTGGCAAACAAGTTGGCGTTGGCACCAGAATGCCAGTTTTCTCACCTCTTTCTTCTGGGTTTTAAGCAAACGCGCAGTGAAAATGGGTGGAACTAGAGTTTATTTTGTCATAAGGTAGTGTGATTATGCATGCCACGAAGGATTTGCTAGTCTAGTACTGGAGAAATTAGCGTTTTGATGCGCATTTTGCTGCTTTAAAACATGATACAAAACGTATTAATTAAATAGTTGTTGAGATGAAAATACATTTAAAAGTAAACACAACTCTTAAATGTTGAAGAAATCCAAATCTAAGTCATGCCTTTTTGTGTTCGATAAATAACATTGAAAACTAGCTTTTGTTTCACACATGCTTCTCGTACTGTTGCCAGTAACTATTAAAAATGCCCAAATTTCGTTCAAGCATCTTTGTGTTTGATTACATTGCGCGTAGCTGTTCGTTTCTCCTGTGCGTCGCTCGCGCACGTCTCATGCGACGGTTGTGTTGTCTTGCAGAGGTGGCAAGGACGCGGTTGAGGCAGCCTGGCAACAAGTATGTCCGCTTCTGGCAGACTCTCTTCCTCGTGCTGCGGCAGGAAGGCTGGCGGGCGTGGTATCGCGGACTCGGCACGCAGATGGTGCGGCAGATCCCGAACACTGCCATCATGATGTCCACGTACGAAGCTGTCGTCTACCTCCTCACGAAAGACCGTTACTATGACGACGTTGACGATGACGAGGAGTATGAGGAGACGAGCGTCGAGAAGTGATGTGTGGTGCGAGAGTTGACGGTCGCCATGGTAACAGTCGCCATCCGCCGTCATCTGCTAGCAGGCTGTGATGGTCTATAATACGAGTGCTACGTTCTACAGAGCGAATGGTCGCGAAGGAAAGAGACAGCTATTACATCCAGAAAAGCGACGACGGTTGGTCGTGGCAATCGCTACGATGGAAAGCGAGAGAAGGAGAGTGTTTGCATGTTATTTCTACTTAAGCCCAGCCGAAAGTTCTGAAACGGAAGAAGGCAAGGAAAGGTGCGTGTATTTTTAGCTGGAGATGTTCTGCCAAGGCGACGGTGCAATATCAGAACCAGCGCAGTCCAGTGTGGGCAACGCGGAAAGAAGTTACCTGCACACGCCATCTGCGGTGGAAAAACTGGAATGAATACGTGAACGATTGGGGAGCGCGAGCGCGAGCGCGAGCGCACGTGCTAGGGAAGTCTGACATTCTAGTGCGTTGTAGAACAGCACGAGCAATGCGAAAATTATGTAGTGGTTCATGGTCATAGAGGTCAAGCAGTGCTCAGCATGCCGGCCAAATGGCTAACTGGCAGTACAGCTTGTTCCACTACATTGCAGTGTGCTGTCATCTTAGATGAATCATGCATGTAGTGGCCCACCTTCGTCTGGTGTTAGCAGGTACAGCAGCATTTCCGTTCGAGAGAAAAAACCCGCCCCAGCATTGATATCTTGATGTGTTAGGCTAGCAACCCATCCCTCGGTGTAGGTCATCAATCAGACTCACAGGGAACGAAAATAGTCATCGGTTTAGGTGCACTGGTATGGGGTACGATCGGCTTATGTATACACGGTCACAACAGCCTTATCAGTGACCAGGTGGGTAGCTACTCTATCGATTTCCAACAAAATGGTTTTTTCTCGAAATTATCAGGTATTACTTGCCATGTGGGTATTCTAAAATATCGGCAATGAGAATTGTAATTGAATTGCCAAGAATTGAATCGGTAATGATTATTAAACGTGTTTTAATTTATTGGCGTATGACTGTATATTACTAGCACTGCTCATAATGGTGCAGACTTGTAATGTAAATATTGTAACTTGTACGTTTTGTGTGCATGTAAATTGGTCCAAATTTCTTTCGTTTTCATTTGTCCAGAGTTTAGACTCGAAAGCATTTTGTTCGACTAGTTTTACGAAATGCTCCATTAATTTGCTCCATTTCGAAGTAAGTTTCGTGTCAAGAAGGTGGTGTATATAGCTGTGCACATTCCTCACATGAGAGGTTTCCTTCCATTGCTCAACTGCTAACACGGTGGGTGTACGTAGTGTGTGTAGCTGGGGGTACGTGTGCGTCGTGCTGCGACCGTACCGTCGTCGTTGGGCACTCCAGCTCGTGTCTCGCTCGCAGCTCGTAGCAGTAGTCTGGTAGTGTCACGCTGCTTTGAGCCTAGCGCAGACTTGCGACATTTTCATGCAACTCGGCTGCGATTCTAGAATCGCAGTCGAAATTGCTGTGAAATCGCCATGTCGGCGGGAACGTGCAACTGCAACTTGTAGCGATTCTGGTCACTTGCAATGAGTTGCAAGAAATCAAACTGGGTTTTTCAGCAACTCGTCGCTTCGAATCGCTCCGAAATCGCTTGCATGCGCACACACGGTGAAGCGTGCGACCAATCGCATGCGGTTGCAGGTTGCAGCGACGAGCAACCAAAAATTGCAAGTCTGCGCTAGTCTTTCTAGAAAAGTGAAAACGGCATACGCTGGTTCGTTTCTTGTCGCTACTGATAGAATGCTGTGCTTGATGTACATAGGTGGATGTATACTGTAAATACGTGTCGGGGGCCATTGCTACCACAGCTATCTATATATACGCTGTGATGCTTGCAGTTCTGTATTGTTCTCAATATGAACACGGCAAATGGGCGGGTAATTATTTAAATTCAGTTGCATCTGCACGCGTGCGTGTGTGTGTGTGCGTGGATGTGTGTGTGTGTGTGTGTGTGTGTGTGTGTGTGCGTGCGTGTGTGTGTGTGTGTGTTGTGTGTGTGTGATGTGGTGTGTGTGGATGTGTGTGTGTGTGTGTGCGTGCGTGCGTGCGTGCGTGCGTGCGTGCGTGCGTGCGTGCGTGCGACAGGGTGTCGTTATTTTGCAGCAAGCGTAGTCCCGACTAGAAGCTATAAGTTGCTACAGCTCGTGGGCGGTGGGGTAATTATAGTGTGGACCAGAATGCCGTCCTAGAACCATATATACCCTATGCCTTGCTTCTATGCGTGTGTACGTAGGGTCACATAGTGATGACTTTCCTGTATTTAGTGGGAGTGAATGAGGTTATTGCTAATAGTTCAAAACGGACCATTCGTTTATTTCCATATATGAACAAGTTCGATGCTGATAGAAATTCGAGCGAGAGTCTGTGAATAGAAACGGCTTGCCCACCATTACACGTCCCGCGGCGTTTCTCCCCGCTCGTAAACCGTGCGTACAGGCGACTGTAGCGAGGAACACGAGAAGGGGCAGCAGTTGATACCGCTGTGAGCGTATTGTAGTATAGCGCTTACACGCGTAGCTTGCGAGTGTTGTGTCCTGCCGTTCTGCGATGCTTCAGACCCATAGAAATAATATCAAGAGCTAATAATACCTATTATATTACTAGCATTAGCATAGTATTAGCATTCTATAGGTATTATTAGTTCTTGATAATATAGATAGACTTCGAGGTTATCTATATTATATCTATGTTCTGCCCCCATCTCTACGAGATGATGCCGCCTGGGACGTTGTTAGCAAGCAATCGTCTGCTGCTTGGAGTGTCGCCAGCTTCCCGTCTTGCTGTTGGTTGTCCGGCTGTACCCAGCAGGAGATCTCCTGAAGGGTAGTGTTATCTCTTGCGTGCCAATCTCAGGATTGTTTATCGAGTGTTCTCATCAACAGGACTCCGTCTCCTCACCATACCGGGTATATAAGTGTAGATATTATGTTTTTTTTTATAATGTTGGGGTGCTCGATACGTACTTCCTTCTTTTTAATCGGCACACGGTTGGCGTGCGTGCAGTCAGTGTTTTGCAGGTATGTTTCTGGGACCCTCCATCTACCATTATTTACACGTGCATAAAGGTAACAGCCAGGGTACAAGATAGTCCCACATGATTTGTAAACACTGAGCGATAAGTCTCGTTCCTTGAGCTGAAGATCAGTTGCTACCGGTGTAGCGTTTATGCGCGGTGTCATGTCTAAGTCTTGTAGTGTTCGGTTGTAGTAGGTTCAGAATAGTATAGATAACGGGAATGAAATTAATTAAATTGTTGTGCGATTCGGTTTGTCATATTAGTATTTGTCATATTAGTGCATGGTTCCGTATTAGTGGGTGGGAAGTTAGGGAGAGAGACCGTACCCTTCGCGACACTACATTGTAGATGCGATAGAGACTTCGATTCACGGGATACCTCGGGAGAGGGGAATGTTATCTGATCTAGCAATAGCGTTACCCGTGTGAGTGATATATCCCATACTGCGCGTTGTATCTGTTTAACAGTTAGAACGGCCATCATCCGGTTCGTATTCGTACTTCCTGTAGCGTGAGCTAGGACCCATGGTCGTGGAGAACTGACGACTGCGTGTACGATACCTGAAATGATGCCAGCTTCCTAATCCGAATTATAATTTTTATTGTGTATGCAGAAACTTGTAAATAAGCGTTTTGAATATCGGTGACGCATCCTTTCTGGCAGTCGGACGCCTCACAAGTGTACGGTAGTGATCGCAAGAGGACAGTCGCAAAATGCCGCGCTCCCATTACCGAGAGAGGGGGAGAGGGAGGAAATACGCTCGCGCGTAAACATATACTACTGCATGTTTGTGGTTCATCTCTTCGACATGTGTAAATATGTAGCTCGACAGGAACAGCAGTTTTCAAGCTGAAATAAAAGGGTATAAATATCGTCTCTGTTTCTCGCTATTTTTTGCCGTGGGAATATTGTGGCGCGAGAATCTACGGTAGGTCGTTGACGCTGGACCGTGACTCGGCGGTAATAGCAGCCATGCGGTGAACGCTCTCATAGACCGATGCGAACCAAGTTTATTTTCATTACGATAAAATTAGACGTGATATTAAAATGCAAGGTTTAGGGAACTAATCGAGACAATACACACACAATATTGAATATTGATATATACATGAATAAGTTCGTTTACGATTAGAAGTCTGTATACGGTCTTACTGCATCCTGACTTACATTCAATATTAATTAGATTAATTACCTCCGCTCAAACCTTACAGCTATATTTTGCTCGTACATTTGTAACGAGATTTTTTTGTCGTAGAATGTGTAATAACAATTCAAAATGAAACGTAAATGAAGTGAATGCTTCGGTGATAACCTCTGAATGAGTGGCAGCTTCCGCCTAGCATCTATAGCCAACCTCGATGTATACCCGTGGCTTCTGCTGGCAATTAGATGGTCGTAGTTGGGAAGCAGATAACCAGCATGATCCTGCATTTTAGGAAGCATTGAAGATGAAAGTAATACACGAGCTTTCATGTAAAAACGAGAATAGACTCACAAATAGCGCTCAGAATTAATATTGGCTGCTCGCCTATATACACAAGCTCCCACACGCGGGCCAAATTTCTATAATGACGAAGAAAAGCGGAAAGCACAGCTGCGTACCATATAGTTCCCCACTCATTCTCAAACCACTGTCAACTTGGTGGTGCGTGCGTGCGCGCGTGCGTGCGTGCGTGTGTGTGTGATGCCGATGTCTGAGATAACTAGGTATCCGTGCACTTGACCTGTGTAGACAGATACAGGTAGATATGTATATGAATTATGTCGCCTGGGGAAGATTGTGCCTTGGGCACACATTCTAGACATCATGCATGGGGAGAAAACGCTTATACTGGTTCTCGCTGGCTGGCCAGTCGGGAACGTAAATAACCGAGCGCACCACACACACTATTCTCGCTGGTAAACACAGCCTTACATCTTATCCCGCAATATAGGTCATATAGTGTCAGATTAAACACCACATAGTATATACAGCTAGCTAGGAGCCCTATCGCCCGAGTTATAATGTCTGAGTGCGTGTACTCGTATTTATATATAACTAGCTGGGCTACCTCCGGCGGATGCCGGTATCCTTTTCGGCGGTTACTCGTTTTTCTGCTATTGCATGCGCTTTGTGCTAATTGCGCGTTTCGGCTATTTCGAATGCGATGCCCTGATTTTAGCCTGGTACTATAGTTTGAGCGCTATAGATTGGCTGTTCTCAGGATCGTCTCGACTTTTCTGCCTGCAGTGTATATCGAACGCTAGTATTGCTGTGTACATTGTCACAACTTTTCGTGTCGTGCGCTAGCTATTTATATAATTTATACCTTTTCAGCAGGTAGCGTGTACGACGCTTTTTTCTGGTCCTTCGAAAGTAACTAAGGTAATAAACTAACCAAACTTAAACTATTAACTTCTAAAGGTAATAGAACTCAACCCAAACCTTACCTAAACTTCTAAGTAATACTAATTAGAACTAACAAACTTAACTTAACTCTAAAGGTAAAAACTTAACAAACTTAACTTTAACTTCTAAGGTAATAGAACCTAACAAAAATAGGCCGACCTTTCAGCAGTAGTCGTGTACGACGCTTTATGTCATCTCCTTCGAAGAAACTAAGTTAATAGAACTAACAAACTTAAACTAACTTCTAAAAGGTAATAGAACTAAGACAAAAATAGGTCGACGACAGAAAATAGTCGGCTCAAAATGGCAAAGATTCAACATGCAGTCGAATGGATGAGAATCAAATGCAAATTCGACACATGCAGTCCGGATGGATGAGAAGTCAACGGCCGCATGAATTAGCAGAGGCTATAATAGCGCCACCTCGCGAACATTTCGTTAAAATAATAGAATAAATTTAATTGTAATTAACTTTATTTTGTGTATTTTTTTTTTTTTTTGACCTTGCCTTGGCATCTGGCGACATCTGATTAAGAATATATATGGTGTTTGGGGTGAATCTACTGGAGGGAGAAGATAGACAGACAGACAGACACAAAACCAGCCGCCCTTTAATCATAAGAAGATCAAAGGCTAAATAATACGGCTCCTAGTATTTGCTCTTGCTATAATCATTTATTCGCGTCGCGAGACGGTAAAATATAATGAGAGTAAAATGATATGGTTTGCTTCGTGTACCCACATATATATAAATAGAACACTGTATATATCTATAAGTGAATCGGTGAATGGTCGATTAATGATTAACTCTTGCTCCCCACGTACTTGTGTTAGATATAGTTTTATTGTTGTACGACAATATAAGGAGTGAATAAATCTATATTATTCACTCCTGATATTATTAATGGGGCAGTTATTTGCGTGGCGCCGGGATGGACCAGGACAGGGAAATACCGCGTTAACGATCTTGATCCGAAAATAGAAGTCGACCGGACATATGGGAAAGCCGCGAAGACCGCGTGTTTGATATAACGCTGTAGCTAGTTTTTTATTATATTTTTTTCCAACTATTAGGTTAACCTAATCACACCACACAGGTACGACTCCCGGAATAATATAATTATAGCGGTCATGTGCGGTGTTGTTTCGTCACCACGTAGATGGCCTAATAGGTTGGGAAAAGGATGCGTACTACACAGCCCCATATAATTATCACATTTACAGGGCCGTAGTGCTGTGTGTGTGGGAAGCAAAAGTGTGGTTTGGAGCAAAATTAAAAAATAAGCTGAGCTAATAATCGCAAATAACCATAACGTGATTTTTTTGGTCACTAAAGTTATCCGTGAAAGAACTTGTCTCAACGCCACCTTATAATTTTATTCTAAGCTTCTTCATAACAACGCATCATATGCATGCAGTGCTTGTTTTCCGATTATCCAAATCTAGTTGCATTCATCGTTCAAGTCTTGGAATCACACATAAGTAACTAACATGTATTAGCGGAGTGGCGCTGACTTGAAGTACTGCTCAGTCAGTTCGCAATTCGCTCCCTCCTCGCTCGCGCTGGTTGTATTAAAAAACTGTATAAAATTATTAAAGCGTTAGAAAGTAAATTTTGAAAAATCACTCTCATCTAAAAACCCTTACCACACTTATAGGTGATACTATCACGTCGATCAAGAGCTGCGCCTCCGCTCATACATTATAAGTCATGAATTTTGGTCCGCGCCCCCCTGCTAGAAATTCTGATCAGCCTACGGCCGCTGCCATTATTACTAATTATTATTATTATTCAAATTAATACTAAGTGGATCATACAATGAAGCGAGAGAACCATATATGAGAACCTAACGTTGGATCAGGAGTATATAGAGATATACATAGGCTACGGTAATATGGAGAGATAATATCAGGAGTAGATAATACTAATAATATGGGTTAGTTACTTCCTATTATCTACTCCTGATAATATCAAGAAGCATATAAAGAAGGTCTTCTTTATATGCTTCTTGATAATATATGAGTAACTACCACTGGATCTCTATAATATACTAACAATATAAATAATAATACTGATGTATGGCCCTATATATAGAGATCACTCAGATCAGTGCAATTACCAGTCTGAAGAACAATTATACATTGTACATCATAGTATGTACATATATATATATATACATATCGTAACATATATATGATACATACTATACTGGTACATAATATACTAGATATCTACTACATATGTACAGTCATATATATATATATAGGTAGCGTATAATGACAAATTGTCATTAACGAATATTAAAATAATGAGTTGTGAATAAGAATATTCTGTCAATTATACCTCCTGATATCTATAATATAAATATACATATATATACATATATAATCAGGGAGTGTAATATAGGGACCTATATAACACTCTGATATTATAGACATATATACAATATATATATATATCACACTATATTATACTACATATATATATATGTACATTGTACATATATACAATGTATATATTGTTCTCAGCTACCAGTCACTGTCACTGATCTCTATAATATAATCGATTATTTAGGATTGCATGGTGAACGGATCTGGTAGTGGCGGGCACCTCGCTCTGCTGTGAACTAGCTTAACTTGATAAATCAAGTGTGCTGGCACGGCTTTTATAGCTGTGTGCATGTTTCGCTTATTCTGCATGCGGCGTTGACTTTCTGAACAGTTTGCACACATTTTACTTTTAGTCTGGGAAAGACAACTGACAGTGTTAAATGCCTACTATAGTAGCTGTCATGAAGTTAGCAACAATTCTATCGGAATCTATTTAGTATGTATAATCAGGGTTAGATACTAACCATTTTGGTTCATTAGTTATAGCCACTAATTCAACGCAATTCCTACGCAATTCTGAATAACTCGATAAGTAATTCGTAATTAGTTAGCACAATGCATATGTCAAATCAGGGAGTCCGACAGTAAATCAGGCAGATGGGGTCGTTGTCGTATTAGGCACAGGCACTTCAAGTGCCTGTGGTATTAGGTACTACAGATATATGTACCCGAGGTACTTTTAGGTTGTTTAGTATTATGTTTATATTTTTGTATGAGGTATGTTTAGGGTTAGGGTTAGGGTTAACCTGTATGATACAGGCGGTATATGTTCCGCTTCACTATACACTATGTACCGCCTGTACGCGAGCTCAACCCTGGCGTTTCGCAAGCCTCGTTATCGATCAGGCAACTTGAATAACTGGAGAAATGACGTCAGGCAAAAGCCTGCTCGCTGATTGGCTGATTGGCCCGTTACAGCTCTCTGATTGGGCGCAATCATTTAATTCTTGTTTCGCGAAGCAGGCTGAAGAAGCAAGGGGTACAGGCGGTGAAGTGTAGTGAAGCGGAACCGGAACCGCCTGTATCATACAGGTTAGGGTTAGTGTTAGGGTTAGGGTACACTTCTGTAGTACAAGTCTGGTACACTTTGTGTATACATATATGTACCTCGGGTACATATCTGTAGTACCTGATACGACAACGACCCCTTGAGCGTAAATCAGGGAGTATTTGACTCCGGACTCGCGTTAATTTCACACCCTGTATTTGAATCTACTATGCCAATTATATCGATTGGCATAACGTTTTATTCTGTGATTACAGAGAAATAAAATTAAGCAGTAAAGTTATTTCTTGAAGACAACAATGTGATGGTTTTCAGAATGTGGAGCCCTGCATGTGCAGGTCTACTGGCTTACATGTTACATCTTCAATCTGGTACTGTATCATGTAGGCTTGACATCACAACAGCTCATTGACACTGACTATATGCTTCAGAGCAAGGATCCTGACTACAACGCAGACGTTTGCCTTGCCAAGTAGTTGAAGCCAAGTTACAATGTGGAGGTCTTTGAAGATACATGTGCGAGATCTCACACGATGCAAATTGAAAACTTTTATCATTCTGCCACTGATATTTGCGTTGGCAATTCTAATTATCTGGTAGGTATTATCATGGGCAACGTATATGGATGCACCAACTTACTTAATTACTTTACTTAAAGCCGCACAATGCGCATCCAAACGCTAATTTCTCCAGTACTAAAACTAGCAAATACTTCGTGGCATATGCATAATCACACTACCTTATGACAAAATAAACTCTAGTTCCTCCCATTTCACTGCACGTTGTCTTATAAAAAGTATTTTGAAAATACCTCCAATGTTGTTGAAATTCTCCAATGTTGTTGACAGTTTCCCCAATCCCCAAGCAACCGTGCAGCGGTGCTGCGGTACAGCGGTACGGGCGCAGCAAAGATAAAAACATGTGACGTCACGTCGTCACCACTTCCGAGGCTATATTGTTTGGCAAACAGTCGGCGTTTGCGCCAGAACGTTTGCGCCAGAATGCCAGTTTTCTCA